CTAAGAGGCAGAGGTAAGGAAGGAGTTCATCCCAGGAAGGAAGGACAGCCAGTACAAAGTCAGAAAAATGGGAGGTGGCATTTCATGTGTAAGAAACAGCAGCAAGGCCAGTTTGTCTGAACACAAGAATACAAGAACGGGAGTGATTTAGAATAAAACTTGGGATGGCTGGCTGGGGCCAAGTGCCAGTAGGCTTTAAAAGCCAGAGGGCTGGATGGCCCCTTAGGACCCTTCTAACTGGGAAATTTGGCAATTCATTTGTTTTTCTTTTAAAACTGCCTTGCGGATTTCAGAAAAACCTGGAAAGACTTATACGAACTGATGCTGAGTGAAGTGAGCAGAATCAGGAGAACACTGTACACAGTAACATTGTGCAACAATCGACTATGATTGACTTAGCTCTTCTCAGCAATACAATGATCCAAGACAATTCCAAAAGACTCATGATGGATATTCACATCCAGAGGAAGAACTGATGGAGTCTGAATGCATGATCGTGGTGAATAATTCTAATAGGGCCCCCTCCATTCTCTGCGGCTGTTTTGTAAACAGGCAAGTTGCCAGTCCTTAGATCGCTTTATATGTATAAGTCAGCTAACTGGTGAGCCCCTTGAATACTAAGTTTTCTCAGTAGAACTCTCTCTCCCAGTTGAAAGTCTTTGGCACCATATCCTGGCATTATAATATCTTTTGTTTGCTGTCACAGATCTGAGCTGAAGCTGTGGCTAGTTGGTACTCTCTCTTTCAGTTTTCCCTTTCGATCTCTCCTTCACCTAAGGAATGTACTACTTCTGAGCGCTTACATCACCTCCTCCATCTGACTTCGCTGCCAGACCAGGTGAGGACAAACAAGGCAGTAATGATACAGAGGGTGAGCCAATATCAACTACTAGCTCAAGTATAGGAATGGAAAGATCAGTAATAGACAAAAGAACTAGGGCTATTAGACCAGCCACTAAGCTAAGTTATGATGTCAAGGGTAAACCTGAAGATAGAGTTACAAATGTATCTAGGTGACAATATTAGAGATTGCCCATGTGAGAAGTCTCTTCCATATAATTTAATGTTTACTGTTGCAATATGAATTATCACATTCTTGAATAGGCTTGTTTCTTAATTTTCTGTGATGTTCAATTGGCTTTTTTGTGTTCTATTTATGCTATAGCAATGTCTAATTGTTTTCTGTATATGCTATTGGTTATAAATTGTATTTTATATATAGGCCTGTTGATAGTATTATTGTTGCAATTATCTAGCTTCACTTTGTTAGTTAACCATGTGTATTGCTTTTGATTGATTGCTGTATACTATGGATATGCATGAACTTCTGAAATGTATATGTCAATTCCTGTATGTAGTTAGGCATGTTGTCACTCTTGTATTCTCCCAGGTGATGCTCAATGTAGTGCCACATCTACTGCATGTGCTGTCAATGTGTACAGGTGTATGAATGTTCTGTGAGTATGAAGTAGAATATGAGTAGAAGCTCTGGCATAGGGCTACTGAGCGTTTTTTTCCGGGGTTGCTTTCCATCTTTGGTATTCGCCTGCCACTCAACTCTCACCTGTGGCTCCAAGAGGCTGTGGCATGCACAGCAACCACACATCATTTCAGTAGACAGGTGGTGAGGGTAATTGTGGGGCCTTGAGTCATCAGTGAGTTAGGGGGTTGTCTACCTCCAGCATATGAAGACTTCACCAGTGGAATAGGCAGATGTGAACAATTTGTTCCAAAGGGCCATGACATCGGTGGAAGCAGGTGTGTGGAGAACTTAGCTCTTAGTTGAACATCGAAGACACCAAGGTCATCCACTGTATCCCAAGCTGTCACTAGTTATCTTGACTTTTGTCTTGCCATTGGACTCTGATGACTCTGAAAGAGTCATAGCTGGCAATGAGCAATTGATGATACAGAAGGTGTAGATACACTGGGAGCTGTAGTCACAGCCCTGCACACAGAAGGGTTATCATCTCACTGGACTGAAGTAACAGTGGGATTTGGCTGCCCCCTGGGTGTCAGAGCAGCCTTTTCTAAGGGCCACACTGCTCACCTCCTGGCATGAGGAAGGTTTACTTCTCAAATCAGGTGGGGATCCTACCCTGTGGTTGAAACACACACACACACACACACACACACACACACACACACACACAAACTTTTACAAAGATGATTCCACACACCATTGGTATACTTATAGACAACATGAATTCCAGTAGACCTGAAAGACAAACAGTTCTTGTTGTGAAAGAGCTCAGCAGGTATGGTAGCCAAAAAAATAGCCCTGAGGGAAACAAATCTGGCCAATAAAGGTGAGCTTACCAAAGTCAGAGCCAGATTCAGTTTTTCTGGAGTGGCCACAGTGAAGCTGGCATAGTTTTCAGAATCAAATCAAATGAAATCTAGTCAAAATAAACTTGTAAGCCTCCCAAAATGAGTGAACAACAGGCTCATGACAATGTGATTGCCACTTGCAGGAAAGTGCCATGCCAACATCATCAGTATGTATGATTCCACCATGATGAACCCTTATGAGATCAAAGAAAAATTGTATGAAGATCTGAAAATCCTCATCATCAATGTGCCGAAAGAGGATAAGCTTATAATTCTGGATGACTTTAATGCCAGAGTAAGCACAAACTATCAGACACAGCAGGGAATCCTTGGGAGGAATGAAGTTGGAAACAACAGCAACAATGATCACTTACTACTGAAAACTTGTGCATCTCATGACCTTCTCATCACCAATACTCTACCATTTACCTAAACAGAATAAAACTTGATAGATGCATACTTGGAGCAAATATTGGCATTTAATAGATTACGTCATTGTAAGGAGAAGAGAGAGACAGGATGTGAGAGTGACAACGGTGACGTGTGGTGCAGAGTGCTGGATATAGACATCCTCTCCAAGCTAAACATTTGCATTTAACAAAAGTGGTGGCCCCACTGCAAGATGACTACCAGAAGACTTAATGTCAACAATTCAGAGCACTTCTCCCAGCAAGAATAATTTGTTGCTGACTAGGAGGGAAAGATAAGCCAACACACAGTAGGCAACAGTAGAGCAGAAGAGAAGTGGACAGGTTTCAGAGATTTGTTGTACAGCACTGTAATTACTCATATATGCAAGAGCACTCATGAACATGAACAGATGTTTGATAAAAATAATGGGGAAAATCAGAAGTTACTAAATGAGAAACAAGAACTTCACAGCGTCTACCACCTGCATAGTTCATTCATCTCTAAGAAGACAGCATTTAACTCCATCAAAAGAAAAGTGCAAGGAAAGTTTAGAGAGACTCAGGATTCTTGCCTTGGTAAGAAAGCAGAAGAAAATCAGTTTTATGCTGACAGTAACAATCCAAAGTGTTTTTTTTTATGATACCCTGACAGCTATTTATGGACCAAAGACCAACTTCTCAGTGCTGATGGAGCCACATTATTAGTGATAAGGATATGATCCTGGAGAGATGGGCTGAACACTTCCATAGTGTTCTCAACAGTCTGTCATCAACCAATGTTGACGCCATTGATTGTTTACCTCTGGTTAAAGTAATCCTTCTCTAGTCAAACTTCCAAATGAAGAAATTTTGAATGTCATTAGGCTCCTCTTATGTGGCAAAGTATCTGGTGCTGATTCTATTCCAATTAAAATTTATAAGGCAGAGGGTCCACTGTTCATAGAAAAGCTGACTGAAATTGTGCAGGTTATATGGCAAGAGGAGGTTATCCCTCAGGGGTTCAAGGATGCTTCCACTGTCCATCTCTTTAAAGGAAAAGGAAATAGGTTGTCCTGTGACAATCCCAGGTGGTTCTCTCTCTTAGTCATTGCCAGCAAGATTCTTTCCAGAGTCCTATAGGCTGATCCTTCACCTGAAAGATGGTCATCTACCCAAGAGCCAGTGTGGCTTCAGAAAGGCTGAGGAACAGTCAGTATAGTGTTTGCTGCCTGACAGCTCCAAGAGAAACACCAGGAGCAGAACAGGGGACTGTATACAACAGTTGTCAACCTGACCAAGGTCTTTGATACTGTCAATCATGAGGGCTTGTGGAAGATCACGGCAAAATTTGGTTGCCTGGACAAGTTCATCAGTATTGTACATCAGTTCTAGATAACGGATGATGCTCTTTAGCTTTCCCAATCACCAATGGAGTGAAGCAGGGATGTATGCTTGCTCCTATGCTTTTTAGCATAATGTTTTCAGTGACTTTGTCAGCTGCCTTCAACTAGGACAAAAATGTCATGAAGGCCAGCTACCACACTGATGGTAAATTATTTAACTTGAAAAAGGTACAAGTCAAGACTAAAATGGAGGGAGCATGGGTGCATGACTTTTTGTTTGCAAATGATTGTGCATTCAATGTAGCCTCTCAGGCTGGGGTGCAACAGAGTATGGATTGATTCTCTGCTACTTGTGCTAATTTTGGCTTAACAATTAACACCAAGAAAACACAGGTGCTCCTCCAGCCAGCACCACACACCCAAATGGGAAACCAACAGCAAATGGAGGAATGTTGAATGCTGTGCATAAGTTCACTTATCTTGGCAGTATACTTCCAAGCTCCTTGGTCTATCAGCCACAGTCAGATACACTGTACCTTGATCCCATTTTGGTCCTTCTCCACAAATAAACACAACCATAAGTTGTTTTCTTGGCTCTGTTTTCTTCACATGGCACCCTCCCTATATACGACAAACATATTTTGTAAGCACAAATACTCTGCGGCTCCAAATCCCTGCGCTCCACTCTGGGCTTAGTTATCTCCCACCTGTCAAATTCTAAATCCTTTCTCTAACTCTCCTCGTATCTCAGAAAATAAGTTTCACACAGATTCTTCCGCCAACTGGGGAATTCCCACAGAACCCCTCCCCCACCTGTGTTCCGGACCAATGAATGTGAAGCTCTCTCTTCTGCCCACCCAGACCCCGCCTACTTCAGGGGCTTGGCTAGCGTTGGACTGCGAGGAAATAGCCTTGCTCGCACTTGCTTGCCGGTTACTCTTCCTTGCTGTATAAAGGCGGGCGGTCTTCTGCGTTGCGCTTCTGAGACTAGTGGAACGCAGGCTGTTCTGCCTTACACAAGTGGGGCGCTGGCTACTCTGCCGAACGCGAGTGGGGCGAAGGCTGTTCACTTGGACAGAAGCGGACGTGGGGGAGCTCGCATCACCGGGAGCCCCTGGTAAAGTTTGATTCCAGAGGGATGAGCTACGCCACCGCTACGCCATGCAAGGTCGCCGGGAAGGATCTCACTTATTTGTTCCTGAGCTTAGTGAGTCAACTAACCCTCCCCCCTTCCTCCCTTCCTTGAGCAGCGCGCGTGGAGCAAAGAATCAACGGAGTCTGGAGCGTAGGAAGTTAGATGGAGAGGAGGGAGGTGCCGAGTTAACTGGAAATGTCTGGAATTGTTTGCCTTTCTCTTTACCGCATTTCCCTTTCACTTTACCGCGTGTCATTATCCTCGTACTTCCATCCAGGGCAAGTCCAAGCATAACGCGCCACGGGCTCGCTGAGGAGACTGGTGGCCCAGGCAGACCTGGCCGCCTTTGCGGGGAACATGGGAAGAGGAGAGTGGCCACTACGTGACTCCAAGTGGAGAAGGCTTCGTGGCTTCTTGGAAAGAGCACTGGGTTTGGAGCTCCGTCTGGGTTTCAGTTTCCTCACTTGTAAAATGAAAGAGTGGAGCTAAATAATGTCGCAAGTCCCTTCCAGTGTCAGATCTATGATCCTCCAGTGGAAGGGGGCTCTGTTTAGCGGGATCGAGTCAGGCATCTCCTTTAGGGCACTTTTGAGGGAGGGAACAGCAGCCCAATTTCCAGTCGATTCCAGAGCATCTTGACTCACTCCTCAACTCTTTCTCCTCCACTTCCCATTCCCTACCCTATACCTACTCACGTATACCTGTAACTTTTCATTTCAAAGCTAATGGGAGAGGATTTTCATAATCTTATCTCCTGGAGAAGAATGACTCATTGGGTAAAAAAAAAAAAAAAATGGCTTCTGCGAAAGCCCGAACACTGCTCAGACAAACCTCAAAATGGCAGTGTTTTCTGCCCCAAGTGCTGAACCGAACACTTGCTGTGCCAGGGGAGAGATAAGGGTGCTAGACTCGGAGCCGGATTTAAATCATGATCCCTGACACTTCATAATTTGATGAGCCACAATTTCCTCTTCTAAAATGAGAATAGTAATACCTGTTCCAGATCAGCACCTCTGGAATTAATCAGCAGGCTTTTAAGTACTTACTGGGTGCCAGTCACTTTACTAAGCCCTGGGGATACATAGAAACACAAAATTGCTGTCCCTGCCCTCAAGGAGCTCCCATTCTAATAGGGGAGACAATGTAAATAATTATGTATAGATAAGATATTTTTATGTATGTGTACATTTACGCAAAGGGCATATTATGAAGGTAATCTCAGAAGGAGGGCAGCTAGGTGGTGCAGTGGATAGAGTGCCAGACCTGGAGTTAGGAAGACCTGAGTTCAAATCCGGGCCTCAGAGGCTTACTAGCTGTGTGACCCTGGGCAAGTCACTTAACTCCGTCTGCCTTAGTTTCCTCATCTGTAAAACGAGCTGAAGAAGGAAATGGCAAACCACTCTAGAATTTTTGCTAAGAAAACCCCAAATGGTGTCACAAAGAGTCAGACACAACTGAAAACAACTGAACAATAACAACAACAACAAAACATCTTAGAAGGAAAGCATTAGCAGTAGCAGGGACTGGGAAAAGCATTCTATGGAAAATGGGATTTGAGCTCTGTTGAAGGAGGTCTGGGAAACTAGGAGCTGGAAACAACAACCATCTGGTGCTGGTGAAGCACAGACAATTCAAAGGTAGGGAGTTGGGAGATGTCATACTCTAGGAAGAGCAGTTAGGACGTGTGTGAAGGGGAGTAAAGCATTAAGACTGATAGACAGGTAGGAAACGACTAGATTGAGAAAGGCTTTAAATCCCAAATAGAAGATTTTATATTTTATCCTGGATATAATCAATAGCTACTGAGGCAGCTAGGTGACAGAATGGACACTGGGCAAGTCACTTAACCTCTGTTTGCCTCAGTTTCCTCATTTGTAAAATGGGGATAATAATAGCACCTATTTCCTAGGTTGTTCTAAGTATTAAATGAAATAATATTTGTAAAGTGTAGTGCCTAGCACATAGTAGAGATTTAATAAATGCTTCCCCTTTCCTCTGACATGCTCTTGAGGAAAATCACTTTGACGTTGAGTGGAGGATGGATAGAATTCAGAAAGACTTGAAGCAGGCAGACCCATTAGAAGACTACTTTAGTAGCCCCAGGGGAGAGGGAAGAAGGATCTGAAAGAGGATGGTGGCTGTGTGAATGGAGAGAATGGGACATATGTTGGTGCAAAGGGAGAAATGGCAAGAGAGTGGTTGTGTGGAAGTGTGGGAAAGTGAAGAATTTTGGTTGATCCTGGGTAGCTGGGGGGATAGAGGTGGCTTTGACAGTAAATAGGAAAGTTGGGAAGAGAGGAGGGTTTACCTAGTATCACACGGCCAGCATAGATGAGAAGCAGCCCTTGCAGATCTCCATCCACTAAGCCATGCTGCCCCTTTCTGGGTTGCTATGAGTCTCAAAGGAGATAATGGATGCAGAATACTTTGGAAACCTTAGATTGACACATACATTTCAGTTATTATTATTATTATTAGCATTATCACCACCACCACCACCACCACTACCACCACCACCATCGTCATCATCATCTCTACCACCATCCACAATCAACTAATATATATAGTGGTCTTGTTTAGAGGTTCCCAAGAAGGCAGCATAGTAAAAACAAAACAGAACCAAAAATAATCCATGCCTTCAAAGAACTTAGTTCATTCTACAGTGATTCAATTATATCTAGTTTTGAAGGCCCAAAAGGTCTCCTTTGTGAGTATCTATAGGACAAATGGACTTGATTCCATTAATGGGTGGGAGAGAGGAATCAAGTTGAGTAATATCCGGTCTTGGAAAAGAGTGACAAAAGAAGTCTCATTCAAATCCAATTTTTGAAAGTTACTGCTTGAGTGACCTTGGGCAAGTGACTCAACCTTCCTGGAGTTTCCTGTTCTGTAAAATGAAGGGATTGAACCAGATGGTATCAAGGGTCCCTTCGCAGCTCTAAATCTGTGTTCTATCTCAAAACAAAAGTTTTTTAAAGTCCCAGGTAAAAACAGATTCCTTTGTTAACTGTAAAGTGCTAATGTGAGCTGCTCCTATGTAGCCTGCTGGTAAATGTTTAACAGCTGGTTCTTTATGCAGGATATACTTTTTATCTATGTTAACATTTTCTTCATCTCCGTCTTAAATTTAGACAATCTATGAACAATAAAACAAGTCCTGATCTATAGCATTTGCTGATTTTCAAGGTCTGAATGCTCACTCTGAAAAAAATGATGAGTTACTGGGTGGGGTGGGCAAATGGTATTTCTTCCTTTGTAGAAACTTGAATAGCAAGGATGACTTGGGGAAAGGAACCATTCCCCCAAAGTTGGAGAAAAATGGAACTGGAGAACCTAAATGAGGAGTCTTTTCCAGATGAGGAAACAGAAGACCTTAAAAAGTTCAAAGTTAAAACATCTAAAAATAATAAAAATGAGTTTAGAGTTAGATAAAAATAATAAAAGTAGTTCAGAAGGAATATAAAAGACGTAGTCATAATTTCTGGAAAAGTTTGGCTAAAGACCAAAGATCCTACTCTCATGAAACATATTCTAGTAGGGGGATATTATTCCTACAAATATAACTTAGAAAATGATAATAATAATAGAAGCTAGCATTTATATAGTGCTGACTATATCCTAGGAATTGTGCTAAGCAATTTGTAAATATTATCTCATTTGATCCTCACAACAATCCTGGGAAGTTGATGCTATTATTATCCCCATTTTAGAGTTGAGGAAAGTGAGGCAAACGGGGGTTAAGTGACTTGCCCATGATCACATAGCTAGTAAGTTTAAGTATATTATTATTAAATTTGTATCTTATCATTTTAAAAGTTTTAATGTATTCTCCAATTACATATAAAAACAATTTTTAACCTTCATTTTTTATAATTTTGAGTTCTAAATTCTCTCCCACCCTCCTTTCCCTCCCCTCTCATTGAGGAAGGTAAGCAGTTTGATAAAGGTTATACATGTTCAGTCACACAAATTAAATATGTATATATTTTTTTCTTTTAAAAATTATTTTTTGTTACATTTTAAGTACCAAACTGTCTCCCTCTTTCCCTCTCCACACCACACTAGAGAATGTCACCATTTGGCACAGATTTATAAATATATGTAAAACTATACTGTGCATACTTCTATTTATCGGTTCTTTTTCTGGAGGTGGATAGCATCTTCCTGCATAGGTCCTTTGTAGTTGATTTGAGTATAATACTTAGAATAACTTGGTCGTTCACAATTGTTCTCTCAACAGTATTGCTGTTACTGTATAGGACGTTCTCTTGGTTCTGCTCATTTCACTTTTCATTATTTTGTGCAAGTGTTGACATGTTCTTCTAAAATCAACCAGCTCATCATTTTTTACAGCATGGTATGTGCATTCTATCACAATCATATACTGTAACTATTCCCCAGTTAATAAGCATTCTCTCAATTTCTATCCCTTTGCGACTACAAAGACAGCTGCTGTAAATAGTTTAGAACATAGAGGTTCTTTCCCTTTTTACCTCATCTCCTTGGGAAACAGACCCAAAATAGTGATATTGCTGGGTCAAAGGGTATAGGCAGTTTCGTAGCTCTCTGGGCATAGTTCCAGATTGTTTTCCAAAATGGTTGATCAGTTCACAGTTCCATCAACCGTGAATTAGTGTCCAGATTTTTCCACATCCCCTTCAACATTTGTCATTTTCCCCTTTCATCATTTTAGCTGATCTGATAGGTGTGAGATGATATCTCAAAGTTGTTTTAATTTGCACTTCTCCAATAATGATTTAGATCATTTTTTAATATGTCTACATATATATAGCTTTGATTTCTTCATCAAAAAAACTGCCTGTTCAAATCCTTCAATATGTATATTATTATTAAGATAATAATAACAAACTCTAAAATTTGTATAGCATTTTCTGTATGCTAGGCACTTTACAGTTATTTCATTTGTTCCTCACAACAACCCTAAGAAGTTGGTGCCATTATTATCTCTATTTTACAAATGAGGAAACTGAGGCAAACAGAAGTTACATGATTTACCCAGGGTCGCACAGCTAATAAGTGTTGAAGCCAGATTTGAACTTAGATCTTTCTGA